ACATAACACAGGCTGAACTGTTTGAGGTATTCTTTACTTTTGATATAGTTTGTTTTGTTCCTTAAATCAAAACTGTTTAAATTAAGCACAGAGATTGCGTCTTGGTACGATTTAATTCCAGTCACTCAAAAACGTTTCAAATGTTATACAAAAGAAGGTGGTTTGGTCTAATCAAATAAACTTCTATTCGTTGGCTCTGGATTCAGAAAAAATACTTGGATTTCTGTTATTACAGTTGCTGTATTGAGGTTTGGTTGCCCACTTATTCCATACATTTTCTCTCGTTTTTCGTGTTCTCCAATCCGTCTGTCGCATTTCTAATTTTATTGTACCTCGAAGAAAAGCAGAAAACCAATCTTTCATTTCTAGTTGTTTCTTCATTTAAAAATAGTTCATAATGACTTTGTATGAAACATAATTGTTATCAGTAATCTGTATCGCTGTCGCATGGAATATCTGTACTCTTTTTTCACATTTCAGTGCCCGAGCACAGTTAACCGTAACATAGCTCACAAGTTGACAAGAATTTGTGCATTCGAGTGGATAGATTACAATTCTTTGAATACCAGCACAAAACCTGGAGTTATACATAAATAAACGTAATGTAAGCTGGCTGAAATCATTTTGTTTAGGTCAGTTGGTTTTAAGGATTGTGAACTGGATTATGGATGTTCACTAACCTTGATAACCCCTTGCTACCATTAGTTCACTATGTTTAAACCCCATGAAGCACATAATAGTAAAGAAATATCCCCGCCCCTTGACTCGGATTTGTCTATACTGTAGGATAATGCAGAACACTAGGTGATAAACACTACGTTATTCTGACTAAGAATTTTTCGTTACTAAAAGCACTTTAGTTCTAAAACCGAAATTCTCTATTAGTCTCATGAAGATAATACTAATCTTGATGTAATGTTACTGCCAGCAAATACTGGTCATACAGTTTAACCACTTACGTCCACAACTTGTGGAAACAGTCTATGTTCAAGTTCAACTTCCAAAACACTTGCTAGAAGAGATATTCAACATTGAACGCGGGTAAAAACCCAACGATGGAGAAGGCGGGAACAATGAATAGTGAATTCGAATTGATGGGATGGCATGAGTCGGCATTGCAAGTGTGGCTATCCTTGAGTATTGCTATATACCTATTATTCATATTAAATATATTGTTCTGTCTCTAGCCTCAATGTGTTCTCCATCATATATTTTTAGCGTGGCGTAGAGTTGAGGTTAACTATGAACACCGCTACAGAGAAACACGTGCCAAATAAATCAGAAGGCGTAGGTTGAACGTAATCAAAGAAACCCATAAGATCCCCGAGAAGCCAAATATCAGAAGGCAATTAATGGACCATATCGAGATATATATTTGCTGGCGATCTCGTGGTATCGAAAGGATACCGAGATCGTGCCAGGATACAAGCTTGGTTACAGAACGTAACCGAATTCGCGCGAAGTCACAATCAAAAGTGTGAGAATAGGAATAGAATCACAAAATAGCTGTCATTAGCACAATCAAACAAAAGCACATTAAAACAAACAATGGTACAGTTGGTTATAATAATAATTGTTTTTATTAAACCAGTCGTGTTCTCGTGATAAATGGTGAGTCACTACAGGAACCCCCCGCTAGAAAGGGTTTACACTTTCAATAAATAGCGGTTTGAATCGTGGGACTGATCGGCTGACGAGCGATTGTAGGACGGAAGAATTGGCGAACAGGAAAGCGATCGTTGATCGTCGAGTTGCCAAAGAAGGTAGTTTTCGGGGAACGGTACCAGGAGCGATGTGCTGTATTTGTTGCTTGAGTTGGCATGCCACACGAGAGTGGTTTGTATCCAGAATCTGAAGATTGCGTTCGTGGGGAATGCGGACCAGAAACGCTTCAGACGTAGGACGAAACCACGTTGAGCCAAAAGACCAGAAGCCACCGTAACGACCAAGTTCGAGACCAAGCGTATGCCAAGCATTCGAAACCAATATATCGACTGAGTGCGTTGACAAGAGCATGGGTGGCCAATCCAGCTTTCGCCAAAGTTGACTGAAGTCGACGGAACCAAACAGAGATGGCCGAAGGCGTAGGCTCAAGAAATAAAAAGAAAATCAAAAAAGAGAAGAGTGTAGCATACATGTAGCATAGGAATATTCCTACACCGTATCGGTTGTTGACTGTGCGACTAGTCGCGGAAGCGTACGGGCAAACGTACTCGGCGACCGGAACGTGAGACGGTAGTCTCGTTTGCGTCGCGTGAGCCTGCAATCTCATCCGAAGTCAAGGGCGGCGTGGTCTGCTGATCTGGACGTGAGACTGTCGTCTCGTCCGTAGACGGTGCAGATGACGCGTGCTGTTGACTGGGACGTGAGAATGAGGTCTTAGATGCATCTAGCGTGGGACCTGAAGAAGATTTAAGGATCCCGCTAGGTTTAATAGGTCTAGCATTGAATCTCAGGTTACCAGATAGGGCACTGTCATCGACGTGTGCTGGTTTGAGACGATCAACGCTGACGATCTCGACGCGGCCATGTCGATCAACCTTGAAGGTCTTTTCGTGACGAGCGATCACGTGAAAAGGGCCTTCGTAAGGTTGTTGCAAAGGTTTGCGTACCGAATCTACTCGTATGAAAACATGTGAACAGGTAGATAACTCTCGAGAGAGAGCGACCTGTCGATGTTGTATTCCAGTTGACACCGGAGACAGCGTTCGCATAAATGCAGACAGTCGATGGACGTAGTCTGATTTACCGAAATTAGGTCTGCTCCGTGGTGTGAAGAATTCTCCGGGCAGACGCAATGTCGTGCCGTAACCAGTTAAGCGGCGGGACATTGTATATCTGCCTTCAAGCTCGTTCGAATACCTAAGAGGACGAGCGATAAGGTTTCGTACCAGGTGTCGTTCTCGTGTGCTCGCAGAGCACTTTTAAGTTGGCAATGAAACCGTTCAACTTGACCATTTGATGCTGGGAGGTAGACGTTAATGCGTATGCGAATGCATTCCGTACCAAGCAGCCGGGTCAGCGAGGAGAATAGTTAATAGGGGAAAATTTCTCGAATAAAGCGTGGAATTCATCGTCACGCGAATAATAAGTGACAAGGATTCGGTACACATACATGTGAGTCTATTATATTAATATTATTCTTATCGTTATCCGTCATGTCGGGTATATTATATATTTTAAAAATATGAAAATATACGACAGACGTAGATAGATAAATCATAGACTCACCGGATTGGCTTCTTTGGAAGATTTGACCAGAGGTTGAGGCGTGTTCCAGAACTTGGGTCACCAATTGTAGCGTGGCGTCGAGTTGAGGTTAACTATGAACACCGCTACAGAGAAACACGTGCCAAATAAATCAGAAGGCGTAGGTTGAACGTAATCAAAGAAACCCATAAGATCCCCGAGAAGCCAAATATCAGAAGGCAATTAATGGACCATATCGAGATATATATTTGCTGGCGATCTCGTGGTATCGAAAGGATACCGAGATCGTGCCAGGATACAAGCTTGGTTACAGAACGTAACCGAATTCGCGCGAAGTCACAATCAAAAGTGTGAGAATAGGAATAGAATCACAAAATAGCTGTCATTAGCACAATCAAACAAAAGCACATTAAAACAAACAATGGTACAGTTGGTTATAATAATAATTGTTTTTATTAAACCAGTCGTGTTCTCGTGATAAATGGGGAGTCACTACAAATTGTTGGTTGTTACAACGCGATGGGTTGTTGTAGATGATAATGTGACTTCCACGTAAGATCTTATAGATTAGGATGTTACGTCATGAAAGATGTACAATTTTAAGATTAGGTCTATTATTAGAGCAGTATTAATATCATAATAGACCATAATTCAACAGATTCACCAATAATGTGAAGGGAAATTATTAAGAAAGCTGGATTATTTCCGAGACATTTCAGTCGTTTTTCTTGTTGATCATGAGAGAACTGTAGCGATTTGTCCCGAGGGAAGCATATTGATAATAGGTGTTGTTTTTTTTGAAAAACCAGTTGTCATATATCTACATAATAAACACAAGGCCAAAGGTCATGTCGGCGTTCGTATATAAATTTTGGGAACCAAGTATGACTTTCAAACCCTGTAAGATCCATTTTGAATGCTTTGTGTGTTTGTGAAAATCCCTCCATGTATATACTTGCACTTTGTTCCTATTGATCCTCATAGTTGTATATTGTTAACTTTTTGGCTACATTTGAATTGTTAATATTTGTATTTTATTATAGTTTTCGTTTTTACTACACCTTCACTAATTTACCATGTTTCTTCCCGAACTGCACTTATGTTGTTTTACTTTATACTAAGTCTGGGCGGCAGCCATTTTGGTTTGTTCCCGCTTTTGATTGCTTGACCTGTGTTGACTGGAATTGTGCATTTTGGTTGTGAATTGAAGCACTCTTCCAGAATTGAAAACTCTCTGTGTTATAGAGCGACCAATTATTACCTTTTGAACGAATCTGTACTTGATCTATCCAGCCAGGATAGAATAACAGTTATTTGTGGTGATTGGTAATTTTCTTGCATCCTTTATCACCTTTCTTATTTATTGTAGTTTAGATTTGATCAATTGAACAATTATTGGTTGCATAGCTGAGTGATTATATTTGTTTAGGTAATAATATACACTTAAATTTATGATGAATTATAGAACCGCTATCTTGCCCAATTACTTTGTTTTGGTTTCAAACGGGCGTGGGCGCGTATCTAACTCATCCAGGCAGCTGTCCAGCAGTCCAAACGTAGTTTGGATCTTATAAACCCTTGACAGTCTTTACTGACATTTATCTTAATTACTAAGAGCTTTTGGAAGATCATAAAGAAGTTGTTTATAGCCCTGTTTATATGATTAGTAATTGATGTTTGGTAGACAACCAAAATTTGGTCAATATTGCCGGTATAAGCCATATATAAAAAGGATTATTTGACGTCAATTTTAGGGAAACTATTTTGAACCGAGGGACATTAAAGTTTCTATGTTTGTCACCAATATTTGTCGAAATTCATTAAAAGCGCATAAGACGTATGTGTTAAGGTAGGTGTAACCTCTAAAGATCTCAGTCAGTTCTCTTACCTGGGTCTCAGAGTGAAAATATAGAGATTATCAGTCAATTACAAAACAGGAAATCAGATAAAATACTTCCCTACTTTCGAAAGGGATTCGGAAATGCTAGGACGCGTTCAGATAGTGCGGCTTAAAAGGTTGAACTGTCTGTCAATCTCATCTCACGATAATGGAGTGAGTCGCACTAACATACGCACACAATCTTACAGTGTCCTAAGAAGTGGTTTAACATAGCCTCACCATATTTCGAACAACGACGTGGTGAGTTACTCATTTTATTTATTTCTAACGCTTAGGAGATATGATGAAGGGGTATATTCACAAGAAGTTCAAGAAGGTATCTTGTCGTAACCGGACGAGTCTCACTACCTCTACAAAGTTATGAACTACTGGAATCCTTCACAAGAATATACAATGACAGTACACGTTGACGCGCAGAAACATCAATTAGGTCTTCATAGTACCCTAAATCGTTGAGATGAACACAGATATTCTTACCTCTTACCCCCAACACAGGAGACTGTAACTAGCATTAAATCATGTATCCTTTTGTAAAAGTTTGCAATATTAGTCATTCTTTCATTCATTTAGTGGGTAAGTAACGTACGTTGATGAAATGTTAATGAACCTTCAAATTCATATATCTTATTACAAGTTTGTTTATTTTGCATCGGATCATGTGTGCACTAAACATAATGTATATCACGGTCAATAGAGATGTGCTTTTTACTTAAAAAAAAACATAGTGACGAGGGGCTCGAAGTTTTTTAGTCACTTCTACCCAACATTTTACTGAGCATAGACATATATAATCGAATTCAGGAAATGATTTGGATAACTATGGGGATAGTACGAGGGAATAAGATAATCAAATACCTAATTGTGTACTAAACATTTCGAGAGTAAAGATGACGAAAACTGTTCAGTGAAAATCGATGAATGAATTAGGTTTACATGTTTATCCATGAAAAATAATTGCGTGCATTTATATGATAATTCATTTTCCATTTTCCGCATCACTCCCCACCGTCACCATCTCTTGCATCATATTTGGGTGAGGGCTATATCCAAATTTTGAACGAAATGTTAACCCCTTCTGATATTGTTCAACATATGCCCACTAGTCACTGGCTTCATGAGATATTTTCTGCAGTTCTATTAAATAGCAGTGACCAGTGGAGTTCAACCAGATCTGTTGTCAGATAGTAACTCACTGAACACAATGGTTGATGTGTAACTCAATTTCGTGGATTGGTCGAAGTTAAACGCTAACACTGTTGGATACCGGCTCGGTGTTTTAGAGGTTGAGCGTTCGCGTGCAAGACCTATAGGTCCTGGGTTCGAATATCGCGATGCGGGATCACTCATGCGCGCTGTTGAGGAGTCCCACAATAGGATGAAACAACCTTTCAGTATTTCCAGGTTTTCCATGGCGGCTCAGATCCACTTGATGCGTGAATGCAACTATTAAATTTTGAAATTAGCCAAAACTGTGAAAGGCTTATAGCTGAAAACTGGTAAAACCAAATATCATTGATCAAGTCTCAAAAACGAAAATTAAAGGTAAAAGGAAAATATAACCGGTATTTATTTGCAAAAACGAAACATCTGACAACTGCCGACTACCTTGTTAACATGTTCAATCTTTGTTTGTCTACATAATCAACAACGAAGTAAAGTCCTATGCAGTCGGGGCTTTTTTGACTTATTTTTTAAGGTGGGGTTTTTTGTTTCTCTTTGATATATTTAAACTCAGCTTAGAACATCATCTTATTTCATTTGGGTCTTTAACCCAAACTATTTTTTTACCTTGTTCATAAAACTAGCTTATTCTTGACTTGCATAAAGTGAATGGATAAGCAAGGCACTACATGGTTAATTAATTTGAAAGTATCGAAATAGTAGTTTTCTACAATAAATACTTACAAACCTAGTTCCAAGGTTTTTCAAGAGAAATTTATTGAATTTAGCTATGGGCATCCTTCTGGAAGACCGATTCTTCAAGAGTTAAACGATGTAGAAGTTATCTCTTATAGGATGCATGTATGATAGGCAGGAAATGAACAACCCTAACAAACACCACTTGATGCTTAAAACTTTAGTGACTGTTTTCCAATAGGCTTTGACTCGGTCAGGCGGGACGTTTCACGAAGCTGTTAGAGTCTTTACTCTTCATATTCATGGCGTCATGCGATTGTAAGTAATGCTCATCTATATCTTTCAGTGCGATGATAGTTATCCCTGAACCTAGTTATATTTGATATTTAGTTGCAAAAGAAGCTGCAACCAACTTACTGACATCGATCCTTTTAGGTTGATGGATTTGTTGGCCACTGAAACGTAAGGTAAGACTAGCCTAGACAAGGGAATGGTCAAAGTTGAGATAGGTAGTCCAAAACGAACAGCAGTCTTGTCTACAACCACACCAGTGGCAGCTGATCGCAATGTGATCAGTCTACCATGGGGTACTCGGATAAACGCAGGTAAAACAATCTTTTCGAAGTGACAGACAAAGTGAATTTATATTATTTCGCTAGTCCTGAATACGGATCTCGGATAGACAACAGACATCGATATTAAGACTTTCTAAAGACATAGCCAACCCTCTGTTGTCCGATTTGCACTGTTGTGTGAACGTTGAAGGCAGCCAGTTTGAATGGTGCACGTGGTTTCAGAAAGACTGTTTCAGTATACGTATTCGGTGGTGGCATTCAACTTCCGACCGGTCAGTAACTTGCGATCGTTTAGATAGAACAGGGTTTGCACCACAGGCGATCTGCTGTATAAGTTGAAAGACAAGAATGCACACAGTGAGAATATAATCTATACAGTTGTCTTAGCTCGTGTATCTATTAACTTAGATATTTATTTTATAGTAATGAAATATCTCAGTGAATGTGAATTGCCTGAATTTTTATTGAAGCAAGAATAATATTTCCAGTGGTAATTGTCATTTGATTTATGTATGGGCTTTGATACTTCCCGAGTGCCCAGACCGAAGTAAGTGATTTTCTTAGGGGGCCACACCCGAAGGCTTCGATTTAAGAGTCTGATCCACAAGGCAGCGGAAAAATGTTAGGAGATACGGTCCCATGGTAGCTCGTAACCAGCAATCGGTTCATATGCTATTTGTTCCTTCAGGATACTAGAGCCCATTTGCACCATTGGTTTGGAATCAGTTTTCCAACTTCCCTAGGTGGACCCTCCGTATCCACCAGCCCGATTAAAGCGCCGAACATTCGCTTTTTGTCCTCTCGATTTCGTAAACAACACCCCAGTGAAAAAGGCAGTGAGTAGGACTTTCGTGGGAGCGGCTGTATAGATGTGGCTATATGAGAGCATTTCGAGAGGGGGAGCGAACTCTACCCTCGACCGTACCAGGGAATTTGGGGACATTAGAGTATAAGCTCACCTATTAACGATGAATCGGATAGATTACTTGGGTAAAAATGGTCTATTTTACGGAAACTAAACGAGTTACTCACATCTGTCCTGAAATAAAATTCATAACTTGTACTGTTAAATAACCTTGAGTCATCACTCTTGGGTATCTTTCCTTCTGGCTTAGTCTGTCCGCTAGTTTCGAGTAACTGCAAGCTCCATCTTAAAATTGGGTTCAATACTGACTCCATATATGGGAAGCTAAAATGAAATCTTTAATAACAAATAGAAAATTGGTAGGAAGCAAAAAGAAAGAGTGCTTATATTGAATAGGTTCCACCTGAATGCTCTTGGAAGTATGGCAGTGATTAATGCTTCCTGACTTCTCCAGATAAAAGAATTCGTTTTCTTTGAGAATTATCTAATGAATCGACGGTCTGGTTCATCTGAAACATTGTCTACAAAACATGGGTGGTAAATCTATGGAGTCTATTTCTTGACTTATTTACTGTCTTCACCCCGTTGTGTAAGTGTAATTGACGTTAGTTATGACTAAGAATCATTGTACAGAAGTACCCGATGGGTGTATATTTAGCTCGATAATCTTCTGAAGAATCATTTTAACTCATTGGTGGTAAATTAAGGTAAGGCTCTATCATTTTTATGACTTCAATAATTACAACACAGGCTAACTTCTGGGAATGTTTTTAATAAAGCCTCAACACTCTTGATAAAGGATAAATCTCATTTTAACCTGACTCGAGTTGTTACTTAGCAACATCATCAATGTGTACAATGCTTTTAACAAAGGGAATCAGTCAGTCAGTCATCTACAACGTAGGACCAGGCACATATATGCATCGGTCCAAGTTGCTACAACTCATTGGCACAATATAAACACCAAATTCATAGAAGCAGTTACTTCAATGATAGTAGTATGTATGAAATAAGACTGCATATAAGAATATGATACAGAGAAAAAATTAGTTCGTAGAAAGAAAAGTGTAAAGTAATTTTAATTTCACAGTTTAAAGGAAGACAAAGTGTATACACGTATACCATTGTGGTTGATTCTGAGCCATGTCAAGGAAATAGTGACATTGTATCACTTGAATTCAGCGTTATTTTCAGTATAGCTCTGTTTTGTCACCTACTTAGAAGTATACATTTAATATGAAGTTTTACCGTTTCATTTTGTATTATATTCGTTTGGATTTTAAAAGCTTAATTTCAATATCTACTCAATTTAAAATATATTGACAAGTTGTGTTTATTATCCCAAGTTTATTGAGTTCGTTAAAAGGTTTTCAACTAAGTCAGCTTAATGTCTTTTATTTCCTTAGTGCACTTCAATGAGTTGGCATCAGCCTGGTCTTGATGTTAGTGCGGCTCCTTTACATCAACTTACACCTCATGGTCTATTGTCAAATGAATATCTTTCTGGGTTTGATCAGAGTTCTGGTGGTATGGATTCGGAAAACGCACTCTTGACGGAGCAGCGTGCACAGTTGACAGGAAGAGAACTTCAACAACTTCTTAGTGTTGCTCACCAAAGTTTAGATGAAGCTCAGGAAAGGTATCTAAGCTCATCCCAAGAGTCATTTTTTAACTCTTAGTTATAATGTTGCAACAGCTTCACTTATAGGATCACTCACGTTCAGTAATACTTTATATCTGCTGTAGTTTAATATTTTTTCATGCTACTATGATATTATGTAAAACACAACGAAACGTTTGGTGCTCTAATTTGACGTCACCGCCTTATTGATGTTCATCACTTTACCTACATACACCTCTCCGGACTGTAGAATAACTTACATTGTTTTTACTCCAGTCTATACTTAATAACATTGTAAAGTTCAATTGTCAGCGACTTCATGGACTGATGGTATGTTTTGGTTTGGTCCTCCCTAGCTTTCTTCCAGTCCACTCTTACACTAGCAAACATCTCCCACCGAGGTAGGTGGTGGTTGGGCATACGTGTCCCAACCACCTCAGTTGATGAAGGTTTATTACCTCACCAATCTGTATCCCATCTTTACCTAGTACTCTATTCCTAACCCAGGGATCACTTACTCCGTTTCCTCAAAACACGCTAGCGATTCTTCGTAGACACATGTGATCAAATACCAGTAACCTACAAAAATCCTCTATTCCTTATTGCCCTTTTCCACACCCATAAAGTGGGTCAGAGAGAATTACTACGCAGTAAACTCGTCCTTTGGTTGGCAGACGGATATCTCACCTACACAACAAGTGGCGCAATTCGGCAAAAGCCAATAGGGGACTTTGAATCTGTGCCAGGATTTCGTCAGACACCAGCCCGTCGGGACTTATAAGACTCCCAAAACAAGTGAAGTAATCGACGCACTCAACTACTCCATTCCCTATCATTAATTCAGGTGGTAAAGCAAGTCAGTCCTGAAGTAATATTTTACATTCGAAGTGAGAAAACCGCATTCCAAACATGCTTGCATTGTTGCTGAAGTTAGTCAGAATACTTTGTATTTTGTCAGCTTCATAATAAAAAGGAGTAATGTATTAACGAAGTAGTTATGTTCAAACCAAACTAAGTGGCGTTGTAACTTTTGCCCGGTAATTATTACGTGATATGATTGCTAATCAGAACACGACTTATACAATCTTAGCACCGTGCCAAACCAATGACGCGTTTATCGGTACGAGGAGCCTAGAGTCCTTATTGGTCCTTCTCATCTAGCACTGCCTGTTCAGTCCAGAACACCAATTTCAACCTCAATTTTATGAATCATATATTTCAGAAATACTTGGTTTATATACAAGCAAACCAGACCACATCATACCATAAAATGAAAAATAACAGTCATACGAGAAGATCAAGCCCAAAAAGTGGCCGTGATTGTGAAAGACTGTAATTAATAAATTGGAGATAACTTAAGAATAGTAGATCATATAATTGTATTCGATAGGTTAAATGGAAGCTTATAATAAGAGGAATATGAATAGACATCTAATATTAATCCATAAATAATCCCTAGACGTTACCATTCATTTATTCTTCGTTAGGATATAACAGGTGGATTAAATGATTCTTTAACAGCTTAAATCGTTGAAATACTGTTTCATGTTTTAATTAAACGTTATTTCCGAAGCAAATGCTCTCTACATTTATCTAAAGTTGGTAGTGAAACTCCTTGATAAGTACAGTTTTGTGCAATGCTCGTAAGGCTACTAAATCAATGTGATAACTATGTTTACTCTCTACTTAGCAGGATTCTTTGTATCTGTTAGCAATATAATGTACATTATATTGTTGTATAATTAGTACACACATAACTTTTTATTTAGTAGGTGAAATCATTTCTCAACATCGGTTATGCTTCTTTGGATACGTTTTTTTAACTTTAAGTGTGTCTATGCTAATCAGTACTAGATGACATTACAACTGTCTGGAACTAGCATTAGAATAATCGGGTTATTGTGCTGAGTCACAATAAAGGTAACTTTCTTTAAATGCGTCGGCGCAATAAAGCATATGTCCCTTAAATGAAGTTGTTCAAATTAGAGCGTTGTTTTGTTCTGTCTTCTACACGAATAGCAAAATAATATAAAACTTAATAGCCACCAATTTAAGTCTTTATGTAATTATTTAGTTCATTTGTAACTCGAGATTTTACTCACTTGCAAATATATATTTTCTTAATTTTATTGTTTGTTTTTGACACAGTTCTCCCGTCATCCCATTTGTAATATTCATTGGTTGTTTGTATTTGTCATCTTTGTTTTGTTGATTTATAGAAAACAGTCATTAAATAGTCATAGATTAAAGCCTGCTCTATACAGTGTGTTCTGTGAAATCAAGGAGAAAACAGGTAGGTTTGTACATAGTTATTATTATGTAGTTGCAGAATATTTTTTCACATTTATAACGAAATTTCGTATATTTAAAACTGTTAGTCCTTATGAGGAAGTTCGATAATATGCTGCGATGACGTTTATCAAAACTATATATACGGCTCTAGTATAGTAAATAGTACTTGTGGCCTTGTGCCCTAATTATACCGCCAATTAGAGAACAGTGACTTATCGACCGGACCAATGACGCATAAACCCGTACGAGCAGTCTAGAGTCCTTGTCGGTCCTTCTTTCTGCCTGTTGCATCCAGAACACCAATCTCAGCCTCTGCAATATGAACAATATATTTCAAACATACTATGTTTGTATACAAACCAAACAGATCACATCGTACCATAAAATAGAAAATAACCTTTGTACATGATCTAGCCAAAAGTGGCTGTGAATGTGGGAGACTGTAATTAATAAACTAGGCATAACTCAAGAATCGTATAATGATGGGTCAAAATAAGGCTTTTAATAAGAGGAATATGAATATGCATAGTTTAGTTGCTTAATAATTATACAACAAAAATATATGTATCGTATTGGTCCATAAATAGTTCTCAAGAGTTACCATTCATAATTCTCGACGGGATATAACAGTACTGATAAAATCCGGAAGTGGAAAGTACGGATAGATTTTCGGGTAAACACACTCAAGTTCAGTTTCGAGTTGCTATGTAGCATTAATCATTAGTTGAATACCAAGCACTTTTAAAATAAAGAATATTATGCATATTCAGTCAGTTGACCACTGGTCATCGAGTATTGATAAACTATACAAATCAAACAGGAAGTCATGTTATACGATATACCAGCATTGTATTTTAAATGACCAACTAATTAAACATCATTTCTTAAATTTGCACTATTTTGTCACTTTAGGAAAATACTATCCTCATCAGATATAGAATTAAAACGAACTAAGTTAAATCTTTTTTAACAGAATCTCTTAATATGTTGCTTTACATAGTAGACAAAAGTAGCAGCTTATAGTTTTAATGTCACAATCTTTTTGTATTGTTTACTTCTCGCAATGATGTCTAGCTCTAAGTTTGAGGAACTCAGCTGTTTCTGCTGTAGAAGATGAAGCTAATTCACCAGATCCTCAGCTTTTACGCTTGGATAAAATGTTAGTTGCTGAAGGTGTAACAGGACCTGGCGGTAGTCTGAATAATGATCTAAGTGACGGTCCTGGAGACTTGGGTGGGGGACCCGGTGATTGTAATCAAATTGAACATGCTGATTATCGCGCCAAATTGTCTCAGATTCGCCAGATATATCATGCAGAATTGGAGAAATATAAAAATGTAAGTTTTTTCAGTACCGCATCTTTATAAGATTATCAATTGCATTCTAATTTATCCTGCGTAAACTAATGATCAGCCAAAAGTAATTTTGTTTAGTATATAAGGTTTCCCTCACATTTGTTCTATTTTATGATAAATAGTCGTATTAAACATAAGTGAAGCTTTATCTGATGTGTCACTAAGTACTGACTGTAGGCACTATCGATTTTCCCCCGAACTATCCTCAACGTGGTTCTTCTGGTCAGCAAACCATACATATAAAAAAGGACTAGAAAAATACAATAATTAAAGAGCTCATCTTAGATCTAGACATAAGATTCTACTTTAACACTCCACTCCGTTTAATTAGATAAGTGTAAATATGTCTTACTTTCTGTACAAACCTGATAAGTTGTTGCCCTACTTCGCAACAATCAAGCGTAAGCATGTAAAATCAACTTGGTAGTGATCGATCCTTATAAAAGATCGTAGCTGTCTGCTTATGTTGTGACACCAAGTACATGTTAAATCTCATTAAACACCCTACAATTATTATTCTCACTCTAAGTTGTAAATCTCCGCAAAATTCCCATCATATCAAACCTCTGTTATCTGACATTGAAATCTGTTAGTTTTGAACACAAAATAATATCGAAAGGTCAGATAGTAATGTTGATATCATACTACATTTATCCAGTTTTAAGATTTCAAAAACCTTATTTTGGATCACACTCTGTACTAGAACCAAACTATTATACATTATGTCCCTATTCAATAACTACTCTAATGGTCCTTCCAGTGTTTTATTGATTGTGTTCATTCTAACCAGTGTTCATCTTGACTAAAGGCGATGGTAAATAACTTAAAGTAGCTCATATTTCTTTAGGTGAAATGAAGTTATATACTTTTTTCATGCCTTTCTCTAACCTACACGAGTCTATATCCTAATTAGCAGATAAGTCGTCAAATAGTTACACTTCAACTTCAACTAGGCTTTCAAAGATATGATTGATATTTGTTCATAATTTGTATAGACAGGGCCATGCCAATTTATCTAGATGTTTGTGTAATTTGCACTTATTAGGTATTTCTTGGTAATACTAAATCCACTCTGTAGTTTAAGTCGTTCTCTGTTGGTTAGTAAAAGTTGGTAATTTTTGTTCCTAAAATTGGATCCGATCTCTTTAGAAGGCTTATGGGCTCTAAAAAGTTTGAAGGTCTTGTGTAAAAACAACTCTAATGTCACTGGTATGGAACAAAACAACTGCTTAGTGCACCTCATTTTTGTTCGTTGTGCAACTAGCGTAGAATTTTAATGAAAGAAACTTCCAAATAATCTTGTCTAGCGAAATAACAATAACTTAGTGAATTGTTTCGATATTCTTATTTTGAGATGAAACGACCTATACTTAGTATGAACTCAATTTTTCCACTTTGAGTCATGCTGCTTTATTCATTTATCACTTTGGATTGAATATGAGTTACAATAAAAACAGTTATTCAAAAGCTTTGCAACACTAAGGGTACGTTAATAAATCATTGGACAATAGAGACACAACTCATTCTCCCTAACAATTTTATAGTGTATTCTGCTTTGCATAAAACTTTTGTTTAGTCTTTTCCATTTTATTGTTATCTTTGCTGTTAGGCGTGTGATGAATTCACAGGACATGTTATAAATTTATTGCGTGAACAGAGTCGTAGTCGACCTATAAGTCCAGCAGAAATTGAACTTATGGTTGGTATAATTCGGAGGAAGTTTCGAGCAATTGAAACACAGCTGAAACAAAGTACTTGTGAAGCAGTTATGATATTGCGATCTCGATTTTTGGACGCTAGGTAAGTTCACGGATGAATAATAGGATCTGATATGTTTTTAATGAATGTTAAAAAATTAATTTTGGGCGTTCATAACTTTTATTATTTCGATTGAAAATCCTGGTAGTTGGCTTATGCTTCACGAGGGTGTAACAGGTGTACGTAAGTGTTCTTAGATGCGGTTCATAGTTCCTTTTAAATAAGCATTTATTGTACTAGAAACTTAAAATACTAGGCATCAATAGTTAAACTTTTGGGCTAGTGCAATGAAAAGATGGGACTCATTAGATTGTATGAATTAAAATAGTGAGTTGTTTGTTTAGAAATTCATGATTTTTTGGCATCTTTATTTATTAGTTCAGTTAGTCTTAGCATCTGGTTTCGTCATAAAGTAATTTTGATTGATTTTCCGCTCTTCAGAGGAATTATTTTCCAATAGTTGGTTTTCAAATTAGACCGCTTCTTTCCGTTTCCTTGTGTCAGGAGCGATAGTATAGTGACTAAGATACTTGACTTTCAATTATTTGGTTATTTATTCGAATTCCTCACCGTCTACTTCGGCTTATACAACCGGTTAGCGTCAATAAACGTCCATACAAATATTTTAGCTCAAAGCCAGGTACATAAACACGTGTTTGGTAAGTTATAAGAAAATTTAAAAATCTTGGGTGGCTTACCGTTGTTAGGGTATTTCACTTATTATCCCAATCAAAACTACTCAACAATTTTGAGTGATTTACCTTGTTCACTCTCTATTGTAAAGAAAGGATGAACAGTTCATATTACTTTGATATGGTTAGTAAATTGTAGGAATTTAGATAGTGTATATGCGCCTGTCAAATCCTAAAGGGGTCACTAGAACTTTCTGAATATCAAATATAAAACTGTTTCGTAGACTAATTTATTATGAAAGATAGTTTAAAGGTATCAAAGCAGTATCAATAAATCACTGGTGTTTCTCACTCTTGTGTTTCGAAATATACCAAATTTCGTTTAAGAATCTATCGTATCGAGGACATTCATCGCTCGATGGTTCACTGAAGCTTTGAGACCAAAACATTTTAAACATGTACTGTAATTTTAATCAGCATTCAATCATGCTCCAGAAACAACATAGAAATCTTCCATTTCAACTAAACAACTGCTTGTTTCAGCCGTATATTTTCTTTGTTGTTTGATCAATGACTATATTACAGTGATGTGGCTACAAAACTCATTATTCTGTTGAATATCCTTTCCTTTTAGACGCAAACGTCGAAATTTCAGTAAAGAAGCTACTGAAGTACTAAATGAATATTTCTACTCTCATTTGGCTAATCCATATCCTTCAGAAGAAGCGAAAGAAGAATTAGCCAAAAAATGTGGGATAACTGTTTCACAAGTCAGTTTTCTGAAAATAATTCGCACATTTCATTTTTACAGTTTTCATTTTAATATAATATTTTGGTAGACATAAAATCGTATATATCTGTGTATGTCGTTGATATTTGTATTCTGTTTTCACTAAAGTTCAGATTTACTCATCATTGTCTCAGGCAGATAAGAGTGATATTTAACAAATTACCAAGTGATGAATATTCCACTTCTTTGGCAATAACTATAATGAAACTACCATTTAAGTTCAGTAACATAACATATCCTAATGGGGACCTGTTTCATAATTACCTTCTTAATGCCATAAGTTATCCTTGTTCATTATTTGAGAAATGAATTGATACGTCATGTTTATGTGTAAATGACTCAGGATTCAAAGTCTGAAGATAATATTTTTCCGAAACTTAATGAATTTATAACGTTTTTGCTAATCACTGTTGATGACGTTTACATTTGTTATAATTATAACGTTTCAATCTACTTGATTATCACAAAATGATAAAAGCCAACTACTTACATTCTTCATGACTCGAATTTTCGTATTGCCATATCCATTCATTTAGTCTTAATTCTTATCGGTAATACTTAAAATGTAAGTTGACATGATAGCTTTTATAAAGTCATTCTTACATATCCCAAATCTGTTCTGAAATAACATTATTAAGAAAAACTTGTATTTCATACTTTTGAACTATGGTTTGGTGGTTGAAAAAGCAAGTGACTTTCACCCAATAGGTCTCAGATTCGAACCCCGTTCAACCCATTTCGGTTTAGACAGCTATGTAGTATTACTAATCTCCATACAGACAGTTTATTTCAAAGCCAAGCATATTAACCTATACATCTTAAATAATTTACTATATGATACATCTACATTTCAAACACTATTCACATTTTTCGTTAGACTTCATCTTTCAAGGTAGAAAGTGAAGTCAGTTGTCGTTGTATTTAACTAACGTGTATTGTCTGGTTTTGTTATCAGCTTTAACCTGTGACTTTGATCTCTAAAACAAGTGTGTACATTTTGCTTGGGACATGCACATTTCAGATGTTTATATGTGGTTCCAAAGATTGATTAACCGGTTAGCCACTAGGGTGTGTTTTTTTAATGAATGTATCGAGTGTCAATCGATAGAATAGGAAAGTCAACATTGACTCTCGTTAAATAGTTAGACCTTGTCATTAGGTGTACCATTTTTTCTTCCTCTTTGCTCAGCTAGTTAGACCTGCTATTTTCATTGATTAAGTTTATGTTGTATATGTGTAAGAACTACGGATTGTTGCCCTCTTCCTCCTTTTTTATGGGGCAGTTGTAGTCAAAAGTGTTCGTAATCATGTTCTTAATACTTCTAAATTCACTTGTCTAAATGATCATAACTGTAAATTCGATTCAGTTATTGGCTCGTATTTTCATTGTTATCACCTTTTCGCTTAATCTGACTAGTCGGTAAATAATAGTTATGTTAAGGTATGATAATTTTTGCATTTTTCAAATCAATTCGTTAATTACATCTTGGTACTTAATCACTGTCAATTCTAAAAATGAATTTGAACAAGTTATTTAAAATGCTGATCTATCTGTTAAAGTTGTATTCGCACAAAGTTACACTGGTGTAGGTTAACCTATAACTCTTCCTTCTATTTATATTATTAGTAACAACATTAGAACTCTAAAATTATCAATTGTTAATCCAATTTGCTTTTGCTGTTCCGAGTTGATTAATGTGATATGTCGTACTTGAAATTCCCCATTTCAATCGTCATTTTGATGATAATTATAACAAAAGCTGATCTAGTGTAAAAATCCGTTTGCTAAAATAACAGTTATGAATCCAATTAACCATTGGACCGTTTTTCATTCTACAGGTCTCTAATTGGTTTGGAAACAAACGTATTCGGTACAAGAAGAACATTGTAAAGGCTCAAGAGGAAGCAAATATGTATGCTGCGGCAACAGCCGCGGCAGCAGCTGCTGCTGGATCTGTGGCATCTGGAACTGGTGGTCCAACATCATCTGATGAAGTTAGTACTTATTTTTAGTATTTTTGTAATAATTCGTTGCATTCAATTGTTACTTTCCTATTTAAAAATTTCGAATAAATCTTTATGGGATTTTTACTTCGAAGCTATGTGCTACATATAATGCTTCCAAAGTTAAGGGACTTTCAAAGTAGCTATTATACCTTTATCCCACTGTTTTAGTCAGTGAGTGAACTGATGGTTCAAGTTAGGAAGTCATTGTTTCGAAAGTTATGGAACTGAAATTATAACAAGGTTTTTGGGTTATTTATAAATTCTTCAAGTCCGGTGTCATTTTTTAACTGGAAAACATTACTTAGAGGAACTCGTCCATATGGGGACTCATTAGTTTTCTTGTGAATCATCTATATCACCATCAATAGATTTTACATGAAACCTTGGAGTTCTATCTGTATGTACATTAATTGATGAACGCAGTGGTACAAATGGACCGTGATTTCGACGATCGCATTCACGTCTGTGCAAACGAATGTATTCCAAAAGGTGGCCATCATTTCATTAATCATTAAATTTGCCTGGTTATTAATTACAAAGGTACCCTAGGAGATATAGTCCTTATTTCCTCACATGGCCAACAAAATGTCCGTAAGAACTAGTGTACGTCTCTCTTTTTTTCATTGATACGGTATGATTCCTCTTTCATAGTCACACAATGAACTCTTTCTCATCCAATACCTCTTTAAATTACTCATTAGGCATTTGGGTGCTTCATGGTGTTTTACACGAAAACCTAGATATGACTGTTTCGAACCTAGAATAATTTGTTCGTATAACATACTGTTGATTTCAAAGCATTTTGCATGAAGATATGAGTGTGTGTTTAGTTGTTAATAATCCGTCTTCTAATATCTTAAGTGTAGGTCAGATTTTCTAATCATAAGCAACCTGAATGTTGTAGCTTCTCAATTTTGAAATTAATGTTTATATATTGCGTTAAATAAATGAGTTGGACGTTTTAAACCCAATTATTCACTTAGCATTAGTTAGATCTTAATTTCTTTTTTACATGGTGATTTATATCTTATTCATGTCTCATTACTTTTGTTTTTCTCCTTATTAGCATTCTGTTGGATATGGTCATCCTGGCTATGAATATGATGATTCTATGAGCCTTCAAAGACCTGTCCCTCAAATGTCCTGTCCACCTGATCATGACACTTGGATGGGTGGGGGAGGAGCTGGAGTTCTCGGACCGGGTAGTTTAGATGAACCCGACTGCAAACGTAGTAAACTTTGAGTACATCTATGCGTATGCGACAAGCTGTTCAAATAACTTCATTCACTACATTTTACAGCTGATGAATTCGCCTTGAAGTAACTTATTTGATAAGCATATATATGTATATGCATTCTCTTCATCTGTTGGTTTATGTTCCATATTTCGTTAGTTCTGTATTCCTTTAAAACATGTGTTTTGTAGAGGAAATAATACCGGGTTTACGGAGTAATCCCACGCAATATATACAAGCGGCTATGTGTATTGTTATAGGCTGAATTGTCTCGGCTTTTTCTTGCCTTTTGTTCTATTCTTTTTTTCCCGTATTTTATTCTTTAGTATATTTATTTATTAATGTTCGTAAGTTCTCAATGGTTAAGGCCTGTATCGTTTTCGTGGTCCTGTCTTTATAATACAAATATCATGTTAATTGTATTCCCTTTTTCTCTATGATGATCAAAATGAATTCGATTTTTTTTGGACATTTCACTTGAAACATTAAAGCCCTAATAATACTATCTTAATTGATGTTGTCTCTGTTGTCGTTTTTTAGTCACCTATCTTTTACTCTCTGGAGGGGATGTGAAAGTGCATCAACTTCCCATTTATACTTTCATATTACGTATCTTTTGTGTCTTGTGTTTTTATTCTCTTATGGTTTAAACGGTTAATTTCTTGTCTTGAGAATTTCGCTTCATTTATTTGCTAACTATTCTCTCCTATTCACTTACATTCTTTTATACTACATTTTTTCATTCTGTAAGATGTGGGTGTGTATCTTTTAAGACTGTGTCGTAAGACGATTTTTTCTCTTTCAATTTATTTCATTTCAATAAAACAAATTGTATTACTTTCTCAGTATTGTTAATATTCTAAATAGTGGTGATTCACTAACTAAATGTTCAGCTCTAAGTTTGAACTTCACTCATCTACTACGGTTTGTATGTCCAATTAGTTTTAATCGCCTTCACAAACAGTTTATCATAAAAGGCACGTATTGAAACTCATAAGCGAATCACATCATAATCTTAATTAACAGTTAAGATGTATAAAATAATTAAAATTTCATCGACAATTAATATAAATTGTCCAGCAACTGTATGCTTCATTTTATTGTAAAAACAAAGTCGTTTTAGGCACTGTGAAAACTTTATTTTCAGATCGCTGAGTTTCTGTGGTATTTGACGTCTTGATACGTGGTTCTGTGTGACTTTTATTCCACTTTGATGAGTATAATCCCGTTATTGCTGTGTATTTTCCCAGCCTCAATAGCCATTACCACTAGGGATTTTACTCAAGCCAATTATTTGTTAATTTCCTCCATATTCTTACTTCATAACAGTGATGTTAATGTTATCATACAAGAAATACATTACAATAAGAAAATATCATATCTACTTAGTGCAAGAACAAATATGAAAAATCATTACTTTTATTATTTATTTAATTTCATCTATACTAATGATGGGGGTTTGCACAAGCGTAGACTTTCAGTTTAGCCTTGTGTGTAATTGTCAGTATACGAGTTGTAGGAACAACGAAGAAAGAAACAACTTAATTGTGGAGACAGTCTAACAATTAATGTAGAGTAAACTGTTTAAATATCAGCAATGGTTGTTGAACCAGTAACTAGATTTAAGTTAGTTTTACTGAACAATTAGTATCTGACTGAGTTGGGAATATTAAGAAAACAAAACAGCTTGCTGAGTGGTAGGCCACTAAGATCTTATTATCAATGAGATTCAGAAATCTTATTTATGTGTCAGGAAAGTGATGCAGGCTTTATCAAACTCAAGAGTTGTTAAACTAATGTGGATTGTGTCGCGATGTTAAGTAGCTCCGACAGAGCAGCTATAGTGCGCAATCAGTTGGTCAGAAAGATCGTTTTGAATGTCTTGTTTTCCAAACACAGAAGTATTTAGTGGAATAAAAGGAATCGGAGAAATAAGATGTTTTATCTCCATAAACAGAGTACTGTGACTAAATGTATTTAAAACATTTTTACAAATTAAAACTGATTCTATTTTATATCTTCTCATTATTCAAAACAGTAAGCACTTCTGAAATTACTTTATAAATTGTCCATCAACAGGATCGCGTTATCTACAGGTTGCATGGATGGTGTATAATAACGGTAGTTAGCCATTTATTTCAGCTCAGCTATTTAACTGGGACAATCTTAATTAATTGGGTTGAATACCAACATGTATCTATCCTGGCTTCATGATATTTCTCATTCATTATTACACTGGCTTCTCGTGTCTTTTCACCATTTCTCAGATTCTTTATGTTATGACTTTATGTCTGGCTTTTATCACGTGATTTATCCACCAATCAAAATACGACTTATATAGTCTTCGCACTGTGTCAAACCAATGAGGTTCGACCGGTATGTGCAGTCTAGCGTCCTTATTGGTCCTATGTCCGCCTAGCCCGTCCACGTGAGTCCAGAACACCAAATACCAGCTTCCAATATGCGAATCGAATCATTTATTTCAGACATACTGGATTTATATATCAATCAAACAGATCGCAACGCACCATAAAATAGGAAATAACATTTGTACACAATAAAGCCAAAAAGTGGCTATGAACGTGGGAGGTAGTAGTCAATAAACTGAACATAGCTTATGAACCGTAAGTCTTACAATAATAAATTATAGGTCAAAATAAAGCTTATAATAAGAGGAATATAAATATACATAATCTAATTATTGAATAGTTATACCATAAGAATGTATAGATAATATTAGTCATAAAGATGTCTCAGAAGTTACTCGTACTTTAATCTTCACTAAGATATAACACTACCTAACAATTACGTTTTATTTCTACTACTCAATCATTCTTGGAATTCTTTTTCTCATGTGATGACAGTTATTGGATTTATTCAGCATTCTCTTACAACTTGATCGGTCGATATCTACAAAATTGTTTTTATACCATGCCAATTTATTCATACAATTGTACTATATTTTCTGGTGGTATGTGGTTAGTTAATTCTTTATTTTAGTCACTGAGGGGATTTCTATTACTTGGTGGTTTATGGTGAAGGAATATTTTCCTTTCAATACTGTTAGCATTTCACTGAAAGGACCTTTTGATCACTGAGAAATTCTCATCGTATTAAAACACAATTATATGGATGAAGAATAATTTTTCATCAGGTTCTAAAATTATAAATTCAAGTTAATAATCCATAAAACTTATCCACGCATCTTACCATTGTCATTATTATCATTACACTTGCTAACCTTTTTGAGAAATTTATTCAGCATCCACCCCTATCTACTATATCTAACTTAATTCATATTATTCAATGTATTACGTAATTTTTGATTTGTAATTACATTATTCTCTCTCACGCCATGTTAACCATATTTTTTTCTGATCATTTATCTCACAATTTCATTTCACTTATAAACTGATTCAAGTCAACATTTCATATCAGTCAGCCAAACAATAACGATTTGATTTGATTTCATATTACAAATAGCAATCCGTGATTCACTTGTTACAATTTTAGATGGTGTACCTTGCCTTAAATCTGGCCAATTTTATGGATTATTAGTTTGGATTGTAGAAGCTGATGAGAAATTATTGAAAAGAATATACTTCGTTCATATAATTATGTTGTGAAATGACCTTTGTGTTATCTTCAACATCACACATATCTAAAAATATTCTAATAATTTCTCTTGGTAGTAAGTGTCACCAATACCTGTGCGATTTGTTTTCTTAATTCAGTTATATAAATCATTTAGTTGTAATAAACACCTGCCATCTGTATTATATGCATATGTTTGTTGATTATTTCACATTATGTTAATTAAAATCAATTTTATAAGTGATTGCGTGAATAAAAGACGACTTTCTTTGTTGTTTAGCAAGATATAAAAAACGTAATTATGAACAGTTGCAATTGGTTAGTGCCTTTCCTATTCCTCAGTTAATATATTATTTCTCAATATTACATTTATTACGAGTACTATTTATGAGTTTAACTTTCATCCAGTTACATTATTCTTTTTTTTAAAACCAAACGTATTGTTTCTATATATCATCTAACAGTATATGAATCTTACTTTTGATTAGTTATATAGGGTTGTCGGAAATATTTTACTTGGGTAACGTTGAGTAAAGTTACTAGTCACATGGCTGACAAATTTATCTATTTTCTGTTCTATATTTATACTGATGGGCACTATATTTCATGGATACCATTTTACTTTAAATGTACTGTTTGATTCTGACCACAGCTTATAAAAGACTACAAAGGTTAGAAAGAACGATGTATTCAACCATATACAGAGATAGATAGACCCAAAACTACTAATCCGGTGTAGTGGAAGTGTATGACATTGGATGTATCGGAACGTGGAAAAGATACTTTACTGAGGGCCTTGAGTAGGTAGTGTTTACTAAAACTATGTATCAATATCAGTTAGGTACATGTCTATATATTTTGGGAGTTTTTCGTTTGCAATGCTTGTTTATATATATATATATATATATATATATATATATATATATATATATATATATATATATATATATATATATATATATATATATATATATATAGGATCCATTGATACAATGTATACCATTTGTCTCCTTAATCCTTTTGCGATCAACTACTATTTATTCTTTGGTAGTGTTTGATTCTAATTAATAGACAGTATTGAAAATACTCATGTATATACAAAATAGATTTTTAAAAATATTTAGTATTCGTTTGGTGTTTTGGTTTCATGATAAGTTGTGTGTTTATACTTCATGTATAATTCCTCTATAGGCGTCGTCGTAGCTTGATGACTGGATAATTGTCGAGAACAATGCTCGTTGGACAACTATTTCATCATGAAGTGTCGTAATTTGGAAGTGATCAAATATTCGTATTAACATACTGGATGGGCGATAATCAGTTAGTTTAATCGGGACTTGAGTTTAAATAATATTGAATATGTATCAAGAGGAATGGTCCACTGAGATAGACATACAAAGAGATAAGTATTTAATCTCAGTCAGCGTATAGGTCGAGTTGAAAACATCTTTATCTCAAAAGACTGATCATCGTATAGTGAGTTGCTTTTTGTCAAATTTCGTCAGGGTTGCCAATGACTGACGCTGACCGGCAAACTAGCGATAATCTTCCAGCAGTATGGTAAATAAGTAATTTCGGGCTTCTTGGACATATTTGATGTGTTAAATCTTCTTTAGAGTCAATATTTGACAGCTCTGGGTTAGGTATTCGCTGTTTTACGACCGTTTATCAAATCTATACACTTTCAGCACATCTTTTACCACAATT